CGTACATCTCTCTCTCTCTCTCTCTCTCTCTCTCTCTCTCTCTGCCTGTCTGTCTGTCTGTCTGTCTCTATCCTACTATTCAAAGGTATTCAAAAGAAGAGGGGGGGGGCGTTTGTATAATGGTTCTGTACGCCATGCCTACGACAAACGGGGCGATTTGATGCATTGCGTCAACTGCAAGGGGGGGGAGGGGGGAGGGGGGGTGTTAATCTACCTGGGCAAAATAGCTCCTCTCCCCATCCTCGCTCTCTCTCTCTCTCTCTCTCTCTCTCCCTCTCTCCCTCTCGCAGAGTACGGAGCGGTACCTTGTAGATGTAGTCATACTACAGGTACTTGTACTGCTACTATGCTACTACTGATACTAGATACCGACTTACTTCTACTACTCTGTACTTGGCAGAGAACAGTACGAGGTACAAGTTGGTATCAACATCGAATTCTACCAAGAAGGGATATCCCAGCGAGAATATGACAAATGTACGGAGAAGTCATTGTACGTCCGTAATGATGTATACGTGTAATATGCTATACTGCCATGACACCGACACCGCCATCCATTACTTGTGGCGGTACCGAGCGTCACTGTTCTTACGCGTACCATCGTCAGCTTCTTTCTTCTTTCAACGTCCCCCCAACAAGAGACGTCCATCTGGGAGCCTCTCGGTTGGCCGTGACATCGGTCATCGTCAACTGCCCAGCATTGATATCGATGCTGGTAATCTATAATCTGTGCAGCCTAGAGAGAGGTACGGTACGCTGGTATTGTCGTGCGATGATAATAGTACAGGTAGTGACGAGAGGGAGCCGTCGAGCACTGATAGTAACAATTGACGGTCGTCTAGTATCTTACGTATGCCTCGTAGCATGTACTACTATGAACAGAACTGCAAAGTCCTGCTAACAATATATGATGGCCATCATACCTGGGCTTTTGTGATGACAGATCCTTCCTTCCCAACCTCTCTCCCCCTCTGCAGCTGGTTCCCGCATACTGATATGATGAAGGGTATACCGCGAGGCAATGCCATTCTTCGGTCCGTCGTCGCGTCTCACATGTACGCTGCTGCGCCCGTATGTACCTCGCGGTCTTCCTTTCACGTAGTGCTGCGTGTACGGGTCGGCACAGCCTGCAGCAGAGGTACAGAGCAAAGTCTGTCAATGTC